TGACCGACAGTCAAATGGCCCAGCGACTTTTGCTTGTGCGGTGGGAAGGGGTTTGGGGAGGGACGTCGGGGGCCGCCAACCTGCGCGGGCAAATGATACTGCCCGGTTGCCCAGGCCGAGGAAGGGGGTTTGGTTGAAGTACCCCACCTTGAGCCTTCGACTCAAAAGTCTGACCCACGGGCCAGTGAGAGAATGTAGGGTTTTCTTTGGGGACCCTTCCCGGAGCCGATGACTCAATAGTCTGACCTGCTCGGCTGCAGGGGTTGGCCTAACATGCTGGTCGCCTGGGGAAAACACCTTATTGCCTTCACACTCCTGTCGTAGAGGACAGTACGACTTTACCCCCAGACCGCCCCGTACTACGATTGCTCGCAGTGCGGGGTCTCGCTGCTCTTGGTCTGGCTGCTCCCTTTGGCCTTCCTGGCATGGTTGTACCTTGTGGAACGAAGTTCCAACCAGTGTAGCCCGCGGGATCATTGCAGCACTCAAGCCCGACCACCACGTCAAGGTGGCAGCTTTAGGTCGGGTAGTGCCTGCCTAGCCTATTTGGGTCTATCTGGGAAAAGGAGACCGGGACAGACAACTGTGGTTAAACGATAGTGGTGCCCATTTTCAAAAAGGGAACTCGCAGTGAATGTCGTAACCACAGAAATGTTGGATGTCTGTTGTTTGGGTCTATCTGGGAAAAGGAGACCGTCTCGGACAACTGTGGTTAAACGATAGTGGTGCCCATTTTCAAAAAGGGAACTCGCAGTGAATGTCGTAACCACAGAAATGTTGGTTTGATGTCTGTTGTGACAAGGCTCCTGGCATCACTGATCATTCATCGTCCTACGGTGGCACACGAAACCTTGACTCGTGGGAATCAAGAGGGATTTTGATCGGATGGGAGCTGATTCATCTTAACACTCCGTCAGATGTTGGAGCAACGCCACATGTACAGACGACCCACAGTCTTCAAGGGGATTTGATTTCAAGGGTGTGTTCGATTCTATCGATCGGTCAGTGCTGTCAACTACACTTGCTCAGCAGGATATGCCCCAGAAGTTTGTAAACATAATCCGATCCATATGTTCACATACTTTTGGGTGGATGAGTGTATGGTGGGCTCTCCAAAAGCTTCCCTACAAAAGGTGTTGTCAGACAAGAAGTTGCACTCTCTCCACTCGTGTGCAACTTCATCAATGATGAAATAATGAGGTGAACGCTGGAAGGTCTTCAAAACTCCGCTGTCCAAATTGTTGTTGGTGACAGCATTGTCGATCTGAAATACGAAGATGACCAGAGCGAAGCACAAGCCATGTTGAATAGACTGACCACCATCATACCATCTCTTAGCATGCGCGTTGCATCTTCAAAGTGCAAAGTCATGATTCAGAACGTGCAGTCTCCGAACGTTTTCCTTAAAATTTAGAGAAAGTCACTCGAGATGGTGGAAAACCCTGCATACGTCGGTAGTTATATTTACTCTGACGGAAATGTGTCTGATTAAGTCAGTGCAAGGATCTCGAAGGCTCGAACCACGTTCGCTAATTTGCGTCATTTGTGGCCCCTAAAACGCACCTCATCAGATCTTAAGAGTATCTCACCACGGAATGCTGGTCGTGAACACCTCCGTATGCTCCAGTCAGATCAAAGATTGACCACCTGCCTGCATTTGCCACTTTGAAATAGGCTCATAAACCAGTGCCCTTCGTGGCCTACGGGCATACTCAGTGCACGACCAAGCCAACACAGTTTCTGTTGCCCGACATTTTCTTCAGCTAACGTTCCTGCTACACAGCTGACCACTCGTTTTCCAACCAAATCTATACTTTCAATGCAATGATTAACACAGACCAAAAGACAATTCAGTTGCGCTGGCCACGCGGTAAAACAGCTGTGCCCTAGTCTCACGTCCCTTGAGGTCCTTTGCCGTCATGTGTCACATTTGTAAACACCACCCGAAATTCGGAGTTTTGTACGTTCTGTACACTACAGTCAGATCTCCCACAAGTTCCCGTCCCGCAAATTCAAAAGCCTTCCTTTTTGCAGTGTTCAGTGAACGTATATCCAAGGGCAGTGCACGTGTTAGGGGAGAGGGTAGGCTAGAGCAGGGGGTCCATGGTTTCCCCTCCAAAGGTTTAGTTTCCTTTGGCTTAGTTTCTGAGTTGCAGCTCTGCAGGAGCCTCATATTTTGGTCGTAAACACAGCAGTTTATTGATTTACCTTTAGAAGGTTTCATTTAGTCCTTGAGCTACCCGAACTGAACCATCACCAGTAAAGAAATGATCTCCAACTCCGATATCTAGTGAGCTTTGAGTAACTGGAATGATGTTGAAATCAGTGCAACACCTATTACATTATGGCTTTGAAACAACCAACCAAATTCCGTCACATTTGTGTAGGGTTTGTATTTTCGAGGGACGAATAACCAGGAAGGTAGTCAGGGCAGGAAGGATCGTTTAAGTGAGGTTGTACTCTGAAGCATTTATACGAATCGCGGTATTTCAAGGTATGACAACATCTTGGTCTTACCTTGGTGCATTTTTATGCATGTACAAACGTCCTATGCTGTCAGTTCCGTGAATTGAATGACTCCAGTAACCAACAGTTGGAATTTGGAAGCGCTGCTCTAAAATGCGTCCCAGTATTGACTCAGTGACACTAAAGACGTTGTTGTCTTCCGAGTTAACGGCTTTAGGATGGATGCCGGTCGTTGTCACCATAGCTGGACAACGAGAGCCCTAGCTATGTTTATGTAATTAAATGTTCACGAAAAATAGTTTCCAACCCAATTGATTAATTCGATCCTTCCATGGATGCACCTCTATTGTGAAGAACTTTATCGTTCATAAGGCAAAATTTGGGGTTCGAACCATTTTGAGCTGTTCTTAGAAGTACATTATTTTGGGAGGGAGTAAGCAGTGTTTGTTGAGATTTCCTCCGAGAAAGTAAACAAGGCGTTCTTGAATGCAACCTTTATTCCCAAACAAATTACGAAGCGTGTAATAACACGGAGTTGTGGTTGAAATCATGGCATTACGGCTTGGGGTAAAACCCCTTGGTCTGTTGAAACGTATCAACACATTCCGATGCCACTGTCCTCCTAAGTCGGTATTCCTTGGTGAAACTCGGCAGCCATAACCAAATAAACGACCAAATTTGGGCGAAGATACGATCGGTATGTGTTGATCTTCGCTCCAGCCCTCCCTCTGACAGTTGTAATCTCCAAAGCAGATCCAATCATGGAAAGTCAGGACGGACGTGAGTATTCCTCGTATGATGGTTTCTGTCTAAAAGACAATCGCCACCCTCTCATCTGCTTTTTGTAGATGTCACAGGAAAAGTTTAGAACCGTTGGAGATCGTGAGGAGAGTTTCGGAAACCCATATTTCACCTTTGTTCATATGGAATCTCTAAGTGAAAAGTTGAAATTACTAAACTACGAACAAGATTTCTGCCGGTAAGTATGCAGATTTAGTAGTATTGCTAATCGTCCCGTGTATGTTGCAGAACAAGAAGTCAGAAGCCGCTCTCAAAGCATTATTATGCAATACCCACAAACCCTGGAGAACAGTTCCACAATTTCACTTCTTTAGCATCCTGGCTGGTAGTCAAAGCGAATGGAAAAATTGACCCTCCCCAGGAGTATGATGATCCAAATGCTACCATCGCAACGATTTTGGATGCAGTCCGTGAACTAGGACACAGTGTAGAGTTTCCTCCATCTAAACTAAGAATTGGTTGTGGTGAATATTGCATCGAAGTACTACGCGTGCTTGCTGAATCAGCATTACATGTTCAAGGTCACCGATTTCAGTCACCAAAGTATCCTGAAGAGGATGAAGACGAACTTGATATTGATGATGTCGATGTCTCAAATGGTGATGGTGACATAGCTGAGTGGCAAGGGCAGACTAATGGAGGACGGTGTGTCGGAAATCTTCTGGTTGCTGTTGATGGCGATAGATCGCCATTGGATGGTGGTTATGCCGAAGAGGAAGAGGATGATGAAGTTCCCGATCTTGAAGGTATTGTAAATGTTTTCGTTTCTGGTGACCTTTAACCGTCATCCTAAACATTGGTTCAATGCGTGGACTCACATCAATGAACGGGAATTTTAACCGCTGTTCCTTTAGCCTGAACTCCGGCGCGGAGCCCCGGAAATCGTGTTAACCTGATGACTAATTGCAATGAGGTATTCTGGGGACGAAAAAACATCCAGCACGTCTTTCTAGAGGACAAAAACAGCGTCAGTTTTGTGCAACTCATGGACGAATGAGAAGCTCTCAATTTTTGTGTGTGGCAAATTTTACACCGCTGTTTATGACAACCGGTAGTTGATCTTTGGGTCCCTTAAAACCCATTTTTGGTGCTTTTCATGGCCGTAGTTTAGGCTGTTGCCTTCTGTCGATATGAAACGTTATGATATTCCCAAAAGTCGTGTGATTTGAATCATTGGTGCTATGACAACAATATCATACTCAAGTGGACGCAGGGGTAGCAGGTTATTGAGAATACAACAAATGGCAAGAGTTTGCGTATGTATTGCGCAATGCTCCATTTCACACATTTACATCCATTTGGGCTATCTTGGAAGTTACGCCATTCACTCGCTATACCGTAAAGTGGAAGCAGCTACATCACATAGGTAGAGTGGTGCATCAAATTACCAAGTCACATGAGTTTTCTCAGACAGTAAACCAACTGACTCTTAGTGTAAATGCGACTTTTGTCATTTTCGATGTTGGTTTCTCCTATACTAATGTGCCCACCGCTGGTAGCCTTTAATTTGATAACTTCTGGAGGAAGACATGTTTAATAGCCGTACTGCCCTCTCTGTGTAGGAATTATATTTACGATCCACCCTTTTTTACGTTCAGCTGTCAGGTATACCAAAAGACTGATGAAGTTACCATTGGTTCACCTTCATCCTGTCATAGTTAAGGTACTTTTAGCAAGCCTTCAGTCTCGGACATTGAGCAATTTTTGAAGACCCGGAGAGTTTGGCTCTGACACTTCAACGGCAAATTTGTCATTGTAAAGAAATGCCATGCGACCTAGTTCTTTTCATATCTCACCACATTGGGTAACTCCATTCGCTTTACAGTAGAACTTGAGACAACAGAACAATTGCTTTCTTTGATTGAAGGTCTCTTGGACACGTCACCCCCTTAGAAATACAGTTCAGCACAAACAACCCTAATCAGATCAATGTTTAAACCTTAAGTCTGCCCACTTGTTGAGTAGGATGTGAGCAATAATTCTCAGACTAGTTCCCCGAGTGAATAATATATGTAGTTCCTTAGCTTCGTCCGGAAGCGAGATTTTCTATATTAAGCAAACTGGGGAACAACGGAGTCCAACAGGTTTAATCGAAAGCACGCTTCAGCCACCCGGCCCGAACACAGCAGTCAGAATGAGGGTTGAACCATTTGACTTTCAGGCTCCAAAATTTCTAAATAGACAAGGCACTGTAGAGGCAACTGGTTGGCACGAAAGACCTATCTTAGCCCGATGACTGTAGCAACCGTGTCGACAGGGTTGATTGTACCAGCTGTGACTGTGCTTACAGCGAAGAAATTGGCAGACAATTGAAGGTCTAAATCATCGAACATATACTACACTCAAGCCGCTCCAAGGAACGCGAACGAACTGAACAAAACAGGGCATGATTCACTTGTCGCACCCCTTGCATTAGATGGGAACCATTTGGTCATCATTGATAACGTGCGTAAGCTGAGGTCGAATCGCAGTCTGTATGCACAAAGGTGCCGTGCTGAATCAATTTCCAACGAGTCTGTAAGTATTGAGTAATCTACCATTTGGTCGGGCTTATTTCATCATACAAGAACAACGCAAGCACGAGAGATCTCAGTTGACACGACAACTTAGTCCCAAGGGAAGGTATGAAGCACCTGGTGCAACACTCACGTACGCTCCAGCGGGATGACGCAAGTTATTCATACCTGTCATAGTGCACATGATAGCAAATTGACCAGTTTCTGGTTAGTCACATTGGTAATGTCTTTAGATCAGTCACCTGTTCCTTGATACAGGTAATCGTCGAAAAGTCAGTCGGCTTCATTCAGTATATATATATACATATATATATATATACAAAGTCAAAAGTACTTAATATGGGAACTTTTCCTGTGTTGTTCGTAACGCAAACCTTTGGGCGTGGGTAAAAATCCAAAACTGTAGCTTATTCAGCTTGAGGTTATGTTTTTAAACGGGGTTATGTCAATGAATTTGCATGTCCAACTATCTAACGGCTACGGTGACAATGATAGTTTCCGACGTTGTATTCTTATCAAATTTTCCCGATAGAAAAAGCGTACACATCGATACATACCTGGCCCTAAGTGCGACAAGAGTCTCTTCGCTCAAAGTCTGAGGGGTTCGTAAAGTCCAGTTCTGTTAGGTAGAATGCTTAAATGACTGTCCATAAACTCAATGTAGGCTAAGCAATCTTATACCTCCTGAGAACAAGAGAAATTGAGCCAATAACAGAGCCTACACTTTTTCAACTCTCCCGAACTCTCTTTACAGATAACCTATAAAAATTTACTGACGGTTGTGGGAAATCATCAACAATTGACTTCTTTCTCCGGTAAGATTCTAATTCACAGCCATTCGAGCAGGATTTCAAACACGTGGCACCAGGTACGGGTGTCTGATAAGTAGTGCGGTCATTCTAAATGTGGGCGGAACGTGAGTTTAGGCGCTATCCTCTCAGTTCATTTAGTATTTTTTTGGCTGGCTCATCAAGTGACCAGTTCTTAGACAAAGGATTCCTTTATTCTCATAAAGGAAACTAATCACAAGGTTGCTGGAAACTCTTCGACAGCCCATGACCGGTTTCGCCCTTCTTGTGGCTGATCAGGTAGGCGCAGTCCCCGAGTTTCCATCAACCTTATGTTCTACTTTATTCTCTATTTGTGTAGCTTACTGGGATATTACCAGTAGTATGGGGATTTAGTGTTTAAGATGTGCATTTAATGCTTCAACTGAAGCACACTTAAGCTGAACATCCGAGAAGCACTGCGCAGCTGTCTCATGCCAATTAAATATCACCATTAGTTGGTATTTCACAAAAACTAGATCATCGGCCATACTTGGTTCACATAGGGTGTGCTTACTGGCTCCCGACCTACAACTCCGTCCGGCGTCCCCTGGCTCAGACTGGAACACTCACTGCATATTGATCGGTAATAATGGTGACAACATTAATAAATAATAATGATAATAAGGACAAACACCACTTTTCGACTAGAATGATAATATGGTTCCAACTAAGGTGACTGACTAACAACATTCGTAAATCGCTTCGAGTATACTTGTGAAGTTTAGATTTTGGTTTCAAGGTCCATTTAAACGAGTTAAATAAATAGGTTAAGTAAATTAGTCTGTAACGCTGGTCTCACTGTCAGTGATGTGGATTATCATTATACAGATTGGTAATACCATAGCGGTATTCTGTTACTAATTTTTCCAGGAATCTTGATGAATAGCAGTGGTCATTTGTCTTAAGGGGGTCTTCATAGGCTAGTGTTCTCCGGATTCGGGCTAAAACGCATTCAATCCATAAAGGAGAATCCATGTATGAGAAAATACTTGACTGTGTGTTCATCCAGACAGTTTTGTCAATTACTTTCAAAGGAATCCAATATGAATAAGCGAAATAACCGCCTTAGGTCATAATGATTGAAGACTCGTGCCGGAACTCTGTCCTGGCGCTTCAGTTGATGGGGAATATTGAACCCATTCTTCATTTCCATAAACCACCAGCGTGGATAAGGGGGTAAGCATCCGAACCCAAAATCATATGCAAGTTGTGTGTTCTCTTGCTACATTCATAACTTTGGCATTAAATCCACAATATGGGAAATACTTGGCGAGCAGTATTGGGGATCCTAGAACTCGTACGGGGGAACCCTGTGTGCTGCCGTGGACAGCGAGTTCCATAATAAGCGAAACGCATCATATATCCACTCGCTGAAAGTATATAGGGCTGGAAGAGATTGAAATACTTGATCGGAATGTTGTGTGTAGAAAAGCTTTTGACGAAAATGTAGTTTGTTTTACTCGAAACAGTCCTAATTTAAGGGACTGCGTTTATCGCAGAACCGATGAAGGCGTGTACACAAGATAGATACTTGGTAGAAGGCTTACAATCCCCACTTAACAGTCTACTGACAGTCCTGTATCCACATACCAATTTATCAGCTCCCGCTTCGAATGCGCAGCTACCTACTCCACCTCCCCAAATCATCGGTGAACGATACTATGTCAGCCACAAACACTGTACGACAAGTACGCGTTCTTACAGCTCATAATGATGATGATGACGTGCATATTCAGAGTTATGGGCGTTTCTGGTGTATACAGCCCAACTTTGACCAAGGCAGAATCGGTGACCTCATGATCGGTTTTCATCACTCTCGAGCCTAATTGAGGAATGAAGCTACCACTAGGCGTTTTTTCATATTTGTGAATAACTGACACAAGAATTTCAGAGTCACCTAACAGACATCACTTTTGATGACCAAAGCTATCTCAGATTTCAACACCATTATTTCCAAATCGGGTTACGTCTTTAACCATTCAAAATAATCTGTAGTTCTGCGTAATGTGCTGCAAGTGGTATGGAATTGATTTGGTTGCAAGACCGCTGCATCTTTATAGCAGGTCGGTTTTATATAAACCGTATCAGCTGTCAGAATCGCCCATTTTCGCTAATATACCATTTTCCCATCCCAAGATTTTGCCCAATCATGAATTATAAAGCAATGAGTCCTACTGGCTTCCTTGAAGTAAGCGCCGAGAACAAACAACTGTTTGACAGACTTATTAGGGCTCTGTTATTTCGTTATTCTCACTCGAGTGTCTTATGTCATTGCAACTGAAGGCGAACAAAATTTGTACAGGTTAAAACCAAACAGCGTGGGATCGGATCAGACAGGTGAGAGGAATCGATATTGGGACGTGGTACGGTAAGATGAGGAAACCGAGCATTTACAAACTGCATCTGGGATAGAATAAGTTGCATTTGATGCGAACCGGAGAATAAGGGAGGGAGTAGGTTCGTTTGCTCATACCCGGATAGAGCTGAGTGAACAACTTTATTCTTCTGACCGCCTCTGGCTCGTTTCCACCCTTCACGTGGTTTTGCGATAAGAACCTTCCGAGGAATTCGGTCGACTAGCGTACGCAACGCTTGGACAAGCTAGTGCAACTGATGCAATGTGGTCAGCTCACCTATCGAGGATGAGTTATTTCTTCCGAATACCTTTCGATGTACTTCAGCATTGCTCATCCGGTGTTCCCACCAGACTTGGGCAATGCTCCGAAGACATCGATTCCGCTGAAATGCAGTACGTTCCTGCTTCTTGGTTTTGTGGTACCTGGTTAGAATGGCGGCCCCTTTGGAAATCGTCAATAACCCTGATTTTGCCCAAATACGTAACCTAGCAAAATCTGACTGGCTTACTGAACGAATGCGGTACGTAACTGATAACGTATGAAGTCCTTGGGAGGATTTTACTCTTCTTCATTTCATGTATCTACCTTCGTTTTGCATTACTTTGAGAGTTGTGGTATGGTCACTCTAATTTGAGTTCAAAGTGCCTATTTTGAAAACCGGATACGGTTGTTTCTATGTGAACCTGCAGTATTTCGTACAGCAGTTCTGACCCGCACCAGGGGGGGATTGTGGTCGCGTGACCAAACGTTTTTGTTTCTCAGCATAACTTAAAACCAGGGGAGAAGTTTTTCCGTTCCATTTCCGAAAATCCCTCAACAAATATGTTCAGAATAGTCCAACAGCTTATTCAAATCGCGTCCACATGTCAACATCATGCTTGCTTTCCAGATCGACCAAACTTGCGTGTAACTGGCAATCGCAATCGCATTGACTGGAAACATATATTTAACCAACTTGTTGTTCTCGCTTCAGTTTTCCTCAAAAAAATGTTGATCTGCTCATGCTTGGCAACAGCCGCTCTTTGCAGCGGTCATTCGTAATATCTCCTTTGGTCAAATCGTTCAGAAACAAAAGTACCATCCATGACAACGAAGCAAAAATACAATCCACATCCGACGATGCTACGTTGGAGGACTGAGCCTGCTGCAAGTATTATTAGTGAAATAGCTGCTCAGCTATCTTATCTGCATATTCACGTCTACAGGAATCCCCAAGAGAAATCATTGCTGTGAAACTGGGATTGGGACTATCGTCAAGGGTCGCATACAACTCCGCAGCCGACATGACTAGTCCTTGTGTGAATGGGTCTTTCTGCGAGAACACTATATCCTTTTGTTACTCATGCTTGACAGAAATACTGTTTGCGGAATCGCTTTACCGGCGTTTGCATCTCACAGTAGTCAGCTTGAGCCTTAGGAGAGAACTTGAAGAGTATAACTAGAGAATGTATTTAAAAAAATGTAGTAATACGGATTTGAGACTCGGAGATGCCACCCGGTCAAACGGTAAATGCGAATCTAAGTACGTGTATCGCCATCAGCTAGATCCAGGGTCTGACCATCAAAATAGGTTGAAGTTTTTGATCCAATGATCTTTCTATGCAATATTGGTGCAATCCACTTCTTCCATAGCATGTATTCCTCCTCACGCTGACTGCTTTCCTCGTTCAAGCGTTGAAAAACCGGACACGTTTCCAACGGACCACTTCCGCTCATGACGTGCGGAAACAAAGTCCAAAGTTAGACGACAGATCATTGCTATCACAGTCAACGACAGTTTCTGATGACGGTATAATAGCTTGCATGCAAGGAGTAGTCGAGTCGAAAACCGACCCAACCGACTGGCAGTTAGAGGTCGAACGTGTGCTTCCCCAATTGCGGGTCACCATCCGATCAGACGCGAAAGACTGGCGCTCGCATTTGGAAGAAATGCGTCGATATCAATCGGAAATCGAAGCTGCATATACAGATGTGAAGACACACCTAGCACGACTTTGTGAAGACCTAAGCAGAGCACTTGAAAAAATCTACAGTCGGGAAAAGTATATGAACAGTCAGATTGAACCACTTCTTGCTCAGTATAAATCCATACAGGTAAGGTGATTGATGACATTTAAGTTGCTACCCACCTGTCTTACACTGTAGTTTTGTTTTGCTGGATATTCAATATACGTACGGATTCAGACCCGTTTGTTCTTACGTCAAACTAGTAGCGTTCTTCCTACACCACAGCACTCACTTTTATGATACTCAGAATCTTGGACTCGAAACATGGTCTCGTGTACCTATAGCAGTAGCGGATGCGGAGATATTTGTCATTCAAGGTACTCTCAGGAACTCTTACGGTTCAGTAACACGAAAATTCTGTTGTGGATACTTGATGGCTGTTAAAGAACAATAAACAGATGAATAGTCTGGGATAAGAGGTACGTTGTTTTTCACCTCGAGAGCTATCCAATGAAAAAATGAAGACGACAAAAACATCGGGATTACTGATGGTGTAGGCAAGATTACCACTCAAAGTAAGAAAACTATGCTCAATACATCAACTACACTAAACGATGAGAAACCGATGTATGTCAAAGATACTGAGAGAGCCTAAGCTAGTTACGTGTGTTAGTTAGTTGTCGATCGGGTGATACGCTTTCCAACTAGCAAGAATAAACCACGGAACACAACTTGAACATCAGACCTACTGGCCAACGTAGCAAAATCTGTATCTGAACCCACTGCAAGAAATGGAGATACAAAGGTGTAGGAGTTCCGCGCCGATATCAGCTCGAAGAGCGTTAAAAAGATTCAGCGCGATGTGGTGTATATTAAGGAATTTTTTAACTATAAAGTCAAAACATAGTGCAGTGAAATACGTTGTTGTAATCCGACGTTTCGGTTGCCATGGGCGACCTTTCTCAAGGCTTTCTACAATCGACTGAATACGAGTCAAATGCAGCGACACTTGGGTCCGCCACCGTGTGTTGTGATTGGTGCATCCTTGTGGTCACTTGACAGTGTGCGTGTGTGTGATTGTGTGCGCACTCTGATTAGGAAATGCTTCCGCTTGTTGTTGTGCCAGTTGTGATGCTTCATTTTTTTTGAGATCCTAGCTTGACATCTAGTTATCATACCTGCCAAGGCGTGCAGGCAGCCCAATCCAGATAGACGGGATGCTGGCACCATCACTTCGGTTGATGCAGTTTGACTGTGAGTTGATCTCACACATCAGCGCACGTCCGTTCCACATGTCACTTGGATCCTGACTGTAGTATACGTGTACCATCGATATTGATTTGACTCAAGTGCGTGGAGTGCAATGGCTGAGGCGCGTTCTGGTTTCAACTCTATTGGGTTTCTTGGAGGAAAACTCACGTGTCATTTGTGCTTCGCGATTCGTACGTGGAGTTGCCTAGCTGTCTGGCCCATGTATTTTGCTGGACATTCTGCACAGGGAATTTGGTAGGTGCAGTTTTTGCGGTGTTTCAGTTCGATAGAGTCCTCTCTTCTCACGAGGTGTCGTTGTAACCTGTTGTCAATTCGGAAAAATGTTTTAATATCATAATGACAAAGTATTTTTCGAATGGCATCCGAAGTGCCAACTCTATAGGGTATTCCCACGGTGACCATCGGGTTTTTGTCTTCCTGTCTCAGTTCCGAGTAACGTTCTTCCCATTTGTTGGGAAATGGTCTCCATTTTGCTGTAATGCCCTACTGACTCGCGCCAGTTCGTCTGCTCGAATGGATTCGTCCGAGCATATCTTCTTGATGCGATTCGTCAGCGATCCAACAACTGCGCGTTTGGACGTAGTGTGTATGCGAAGACTCATAATGCGAATACCTGTCTGAACTTGTAGGTTTTCTGTGGCATCCCACTGCGTTAACTGAGGGCTTGCAGTCCAGAAAAATAATGGTCCTCTGCTCGGTCTCAGTCACAATCGTGAATAATACTGTTGCATTGTTCATTCAAAAGTTTACAAAGGATTGTCGTTGTGTGGTTGATATGACCGTAAATATGTCGTCAACATATCTCAGCTAGTTGCTTAGTGGATGGGTGAATTCATATAGGGCCTTAGTTTCAATATGGTAAGAAGAGATTAGCCACTTTGGTCGATACTAGAGAACCCATAGCGGCACCGTCAGTCTGTCTGTAGATCGTGTTTTGAACGGTGAAAAACGTGGTGCTTAGACACGGTTTAACACCAGGAATGACATCAACAGGAGTTAAGTTTGTTATCTGTGCTAGAGATGTGTCGTCGCACAGAATAGAAGACAGAAAAGATAGACAGTCGTCATCTAGTACGCTTGGATAAAGAGCTGACTGCTACTTCATCATTGATTTGTGTGGATTAGAGGATACTGACAAAATCAAAGGAGTCATTCACGTGACTTACCACCAGCTGACAATACGGCTTTAACAAACTGCTTAAGTATTTGGATAAGTCATAAGCATTTGGATTCAAGTCACATATCGAACGGACGTGCGCCGATGTGTGAGATCAACTCACAGTCAAACTGCATCAACCGAAGTGATGGTGCCAGCATCCCGTCTATCTGGATTGGGCTGCCTGCACGCCTTGGCAGGTATGATAACTAGATGTCAAGCTAGGATCTCAAAAAAATGAACATCACAACCGGCACAACAACAAGCGGAAGCATTTCCTAATCAGAGTGCACACACAATCACACATACACACACACGCACACTGTCAAGTGACCACAAGGATGCACCAATCACAACACACGGTGGCGGACCCAAGTGTCGCTGCATTTGACTCGTATTCAGTCGATTGTAGAAAGCCTTGAGAAAGGTCGCCCATGGCAACCGAAACGTCGGATTACAACAACGTATTTCACTGCACTATGTTTTGACTTTATCATTAAAAAAGATCGTTAGCGGGTAGAAATGGTTCATGTTCTGTTGCTCCCGACAAGTCGTGAAAATCGCTTATCTTCGGTGGTGTGCCGAGCTTCTGACAGCGCGTGTGTCCATTGACTGGTGGAAAGGTGAATGTTGATTTGTGCAAATCATTGGCCAAGCTCGACCACCTGACCAACAACCAGTGATTTATCTTCTTTGGTTAGTTTGGTTCATTATTCGAGTTACTTGCACAAAACTGAAGCAGTCTAAGTTGAAAGGCAGGACACGCTGCTTGTTCATTTTCACTTCAATTCTATACGAACTTAGTTGGACGTTTTGATGGAGATACTACACTGCTAGGTTGTATGAAAACTAGAATAAATATGTGACGAATTCGGACAGTTGCCCTACGTACCTCAAGAGTAAATAAAAATCAGCTGGAGACTCTAGAGTAGAGCTCCTCTTGAGTGGTCGATTTCCAGATGATTGGTCATCGTCCGCTATAAGTGTTCTTTTATCATGCTCAAAGATGTTGAGCAAAGATTTGCGCATTTTAATGGCCTCATTTTAAAGGCCTCTTCCGACTAGGATGTTCCCCGTGCCTCCCCAAATTGTTTGTGAATTCGTTTAGCCGGGAATTTAATATAGCAAGCGCCCTGAATGACTCACAGCTACCGGAATTTCACTTTTTTCAATTGATTCCAAAGTAAACTAATTGGGTTTTTATCCAGTCACCCATCGCCAGGAAAGACCGATTTTGGAGCCCCAATTGTCAATCCCCTTTCAGGAGAGACCATTTCCGGTCAGACATTTCAAACTATTTCTTCATAGAGTGCGACTAGATCTCATGTTAAGTCTATCTGACCCCGGATAGCGGAAACTACCTTAGAATACATCCTAACGCTAAATTCCTGTCATAGTTCAAGACTATAACAAAGGAACAAATATAAATGTTATCGGAACTACCTTACAAGTGTAAGCAACAGAGATGTACTTTCAGTCATTTATTCAAACCGCGTTTACCCGAGACTCAAAGATGGTAGTACAATCATCCAGGTTTTTATTTTCAATCCCCATTTCTGTATCCTTCAATTTGCAGAGCAAGCTATCGGAAATTTCGCTGAAGTACCGGATGGCCAGTGGTGGAATTACCGAACGAAGTCGCATGCTAGCAGAACTAAGTGAGGAATTAGAGCGGGTGAAAAACGAAATGGACGAGAGGGGTTCAAACATGACCGATGGGTCCCCGGTGGTCCGAATAAAACAGGCAATACAGAGATTAAAAGCAGAGATGCTTGGAATGGACATACGCACAGGTGTATTGGAGCACATTCTGCTGCGCACCCACCTACGAGTGAGAGAGGATAGTCAAAAGTCCCTATTTTCAAAAGATGGTGCCTCGGTTGTGGCAGAAACTGCAGCGTTTGTATACTAGACGGTATCAATATCCTTGAAGTAATCTTTCAGCTGAAAAGCCCCAATTAAGTGGCGTCGATTTGTGACCATTTAATTGTCCACTAACTTCTCCCCATCAAGATACAACACATCTCATAACTTACCCCGAAACATTGCTGAGAAACTGAATTACACATAAAAGGTGTTTGTAAAGAATACCAGTATCTTCTCCTAGTGACGCTACTGAAGGACAATTTCCCCTACCCTAAGAAAACCTTCTATTGTAGACTTATTGGGCACACTGAAGAACTAGTACGGCAGCTATCGAGTGGCCGCAGGTCTTGGAAGTCACTAGAATACCAGTGGGTCCAGTTAGCAGCTGTTTTGAAGGCCTTGTGACGTCATGCGAGTGTGCAGTTTTCGGTGTATGGCAGCTGGTCAGGGATCACTAATTACAGTCAAGCTGACAGTCTCATTTTCCAACCACTGGAAATAGATCCTTTCAAGTGGAGCGGCAATAGGTTGGTCCAACTGCATCCAGTTAGTGCGCCCTAATCTGAACGAAAGGCGTTCTGGGACATTTTTAGGAAGCAATCGAAAATGCCTGAAGGTAAAATTTATTCATCAATCCAGGCATGGAATGATTTCCAGTTAAAGTGCTGGAATCCACTCTACGGAACAAAGTGTGCATTGGATATGAACTATATTTCCTATCGAGATGTGTAGGCTACTTTCTAGAGAAGTCCCTGTTTCCCAAGTTGATCTAATTTTTTAACGTCGACTGTGAGAATTAGTCAGCCCACCAATGTCCCAGATTCATGTTACCCATGGCCAACGATTCACAGTACAATTATCGCAGATTGTCGACCAACTTTATTTCTGCGGGCAAAGAACGTAACCGAACCCTCGTAGACATAGTTGTTGAACAGTCCATAAAGACCAAACGAGCTGTTAAAAAGTTGTCTGACATCGGATACTCTTTGTCCGTTAGAGCTTCAGTGATCAAGCACAGAGTCCGCAAAGTTGGTCAGCTTGGAGTGGCGGTCTCACAAGTATGTGGTATGGTACCCGGACGGTCGATATGAGACGTTTCAGAAAAGATCTTTCAAATCCAGGCGTTTTCCTGTGGTTGTAAACGGCTGCTAGAGCTGCACATCACAAATTTTTTCTGGTTATGATCTGGAAGAGCCATTCGTCGATATGGTTTGTGCTGAGGACTTTTGTGTTTGTATTTTTTGTAACCCAGAAAATCGCTAATAAGGCCTGCAGTTCTGTTAATTTGTTGCTCATAAAGACAAGGGTATTAAGGTAGATCAGATCCCCAAGTTATGTGACTGGACTGAACTGATCACTCGGATGGTCTTGTACCCACATCAGAGTTTTCCAGTCAACTGCTTAATCAATCGGCTGTACAGGTAGTGAGGGAATCTTTAGCACACCAGATTTCATACCTAATACGGTTGTCCCATCAAACAGCCAACAGCGGGCCAAATGAAAGTCAGAAGAGAGTGAAAGTAACCATTCCGACAACTAACTGGAGCGAACTGGGCATCAGGTCTAACTACATCTGACCCTTCTCCGTTGGCGAGACTAGCGTTTTGTCAATCCTCTCAAAGAGGGGCAGATGTACGTCACCATAACTGCTGAACAAGCTCATGAAAGGAACTCAGCCGATGAAAGGGACATCGATCTAGCAGTTGGTCTTGCTTTGTTTTTTACAGATTCGTGCATTACACAAACTTATTCGATCTCAACGGCACACTATCACGCTGATCTCCAACTGTGAACGTCTGGTGTGGACACATTAACGCAAGTCCAAAAACTGATCATACAGTTTTGGTTTGCTGACGGTATAGCGATCGACAGAAAAAGGATATGTACCGACTCAGTCTGTCGAATTCATTCACCATTCGGAACTGTGATCAAGAGAGAAAAATGACACTCCTGAAATGTAATATTACAGTGAATTCAATGAATTATGGTATTACGACTTGTCTGTGGTGATTTACCACTTATCACATACCTCGTTCCACCGGAAAAGATCATAAGCAGAGAGTTTATCAAAACATCGTGTAGCTTACGAGAGCTCGAGGAGATTGACATGAAGTTGTAACGCGCGCGAATAAAAACTGCATAGAAGAGACTAATACGTGTCAGTCAGGAATTACACAACACACACGGAAACCAGGAACCGCGGTAACAATCAGTTTCTGCGATTGTAGGTTACCATTATGATTAGTGCCATTCTGGATCAATATTTACCAAAAAATCAGCCACCACAAACTGAAATAGAGTCAAAATCAAAGTTTGTTCACACAAAGACGTCTAACCCCTATGCACACTTGCTAGTGTGATCTCGACATTCCTCATGGTAGGCTGCATTTAACAGTACATTTGAATATTTTCTTCGCCCGCTCATCGTTGGTTTGAACACGGAAGTGGATTGCATTTTCGCACGGAGATTTGGATATCAGCTACCTCAGTCGACCACTAAAATGAAGAGCTTCGACTGCGTTGAACTTTCAAAAACGGGCGCCATACCATACCAAGAAAGAAACGTCATACGTCTCGTTCCAGGTTAATACTTTTCTCAATTTGATGCCTAACAGCAGCGTTTCACCTGACGTCGTATCCTATCAAGACAGCTAGCAGGTACGGTGCTAAAGCATCTTTAGAGCAATCGTAAAAGCTGAGCTTGGATACCTAGTTACCTTTGGTAGCCTCTGCGGAGATGAATTGGTGAGAATACCTTTCCAGGGTTTTGTGCTTGCATCTTTTCCTTCATAAGCACCGGATAACTGAAATACGGGTACCATCGCCCCACTGTCTATGATAGATATATGGCTGGACTACGAAGTGCTTATCAGGTGATCTAAGCAGCAAATCAAACGGGTGCACATGGAACTGAACCTCAGAGCTTTAACGCTCGATATTGCATACGGCTCTATTTTGCTTTCCAGTGTATCGCATCAGAACCTAGCCAAGATGTGAGACTAAATAGTGAGGTCACTTAGGTGGTAAGACTAGAAAGTGCTGGATTCTATTTATTGAGAGACATGATTCAAAGCGCATAATTTAAAGGTACTAGCTACTTGGGACGATGCAGTCACAAGCTTTCAGGAAAGTAGTTGAATGGAAGAACCGTATGGATACAGGATCACATCCTCGCACTAACACGCATATTAATGGTGAGTGCTCCATGGGCATCTTTTATAGTGATTGATGTATGTTCCCCAAAGAGAGGTCACTCCTCAGATGAGCTAACGGTAGGCATTCTCTGCCTGATTTTTCATGTATTACCATCTTTGGTCACCTCCCAATCCCATAAATTACTTCACAGTACCACGTCTTGTAGGAAGACACAACAAGAACCGCACAAAGAGGGCGCGCGGCGACCTTGGACGACGTACACCAAGCCATCGAGGGTTTCTAAACTACTAAAAAAACTGGTCAAACTAGCTGAACAAATTCAAATCCAAGAAACCATAGTTACCAACAGATGAGCATCGAACTTGCCAGTATACAATACATGATAATACCTAGCTTCAGTTCCTTCCCCAGCTTACCGATTTGGGTATTAGTACTCAATAAGTGCACCGCTCATTATCGACCTCATTCTAACTGTGCTTCTCGGCTCAGCCAGTCATTAAGTGTGAGAAAAATTACGAAAAATATCACTCGAAAAGAGATCTGTGCTCTCTTAAATGGTACAATGCTAGAAAGACAGATATTTGATCGATGCGGAACATTGAAGAACAATCTCAATACACTACACCTCAGAATCGCAATGCGCTGACACGAAAAACGAAGGAAGGAGAGACAAGTAGGGTGTGAAGTTGGTTTCTGGACTTGAGAACCGACAAATGATTTGCCAAACCCATACCGTCAACTAACTTCTGGTACGCTGTTACAGCACAGTTAGGATATTAAATGGAATACATCATTTCCACAGCCATCAATGGCTGGCTCGCCAGATGTAAATCCTGTTGTTACACCTGTAGTGAATTTTTAAGCGGTGAAGCGGAATGGATATCGATGGATTACAATTTTGAAAAGAACCAACATAAGTAGTTCACCCGACTCTTGGTTGTGTACAATACGGACAAAACCAGTTGTTTTCTAAAGCTATCGAACGTAAGATAGTTTGCAGGCAGACACGATAAGTTCACCAAAATGCCCTTGAAACGTATTGATTATAAGGCGTAGACATTCCGTTGAAAACGTTGAGAACATGACGCAGTCTGGATATTACCCGTTCACGTCATGGAGTAGAAACTTAGAGGCCTGATTACTTTAAAAACAGCAACTTCATACCTGTTGCTTCATCAGTCTGTAAAAAATATTCTAGCTGTAGCACGCTTTCGATATCTAACTGCCGTACCACCGAAAGGAGGCACGAGAGCCAGGATACTGTCAGGCTTCCCAAGTCTAGATGGGGAAGTTGAGAGGTAGAGGCCGGTTTTGAACCACAGACCATCCGGTCAGTAAATTCGCCCTCTAACCACCGAGCAATCTCGTGTATTTAAAAGTGAATCTGTAATACACCAGAACATATGTTCGGGATATTTCGATTCTCCTGATACGTTTCGCCGTACGGCGTCAAGAAAGACGGCTTTAGGTTCACAGCATTAGATATTTCGATCCCATTGATAGAAGTTCCGTCGAACTCGGACATCAGGAACGCTTTTCCTCTTCCTTTCGAAAGATTCATAGACTCTAAGGCTGGGCGCCCCCCTCCGAATAAAACTGTGCGGCCGTCAGCGCTTTATGAAGACAGGAGTGACATGCAGCGTCCGATGAACTAAGAAGGCCACCTGTTTTTCCGGTTTCCTCCGCTCAGGTGCAAGTTTCGGACACAACCTGACAGCTCTCCACTAAATATGGTGATAGTTTTGTTTTCAATTCCATGTAACTCGGAAAATGTTTCGGGTCCTGGTTGGGCATGAGACACTATTAAGGCTACTTCATACGTCCAGTTGACATGAGCAATGCTCACAGAGCTAATCAGTAATATACCTAGGCCATGAATGCGATTATATCGACCGTGAATGGAAACGGGGGGATATCTCTTCGAATAAACACGACAGTTCAGTTTGACCGTTCGGGCTATGGCATGCAGGCCATTGCCGTCACACGTGATGGGAGAATTTCCACTAACTGGATGAGGACGTATCACGACTGGTGTATTCAGGCCGGAGGCGACCGTGAAATCTCCGTGTCCCTCAACTCCTGGCGTGGCTTCTAGAAATCCAAGGTGAAGCACAAAAACTCAGAATGTGAGATACATGTTATTAGGACCGCCTTGAACCAGATGACGATGTCTGAATTTGGGTGTTAAATGCATTTCTAGGCTCTCCATGATCATACACACAAAGACGAGGAATGCACTCTTGCCGGCTACAACGCACATGTAGTGCAGAGTCAGCTATCTGTAAACATCATTGGGAAAATTCACCCTTGACAGCTTATATGGTTTGGCCAGCTGTTCGCACAGCTTAAAAAAACATAACACACACTAACTGAGGTCGCCGTGGACGGCCTGGTAAGATTCGACAGAGGAGTCCGGACGTATCACACGAAAAAATGACCGACACCCACATATGGACGCCTTATGACCATGTGCCATTCTTCTGCAAACATCATGTCAGAGAAACACCATTCTAGGGCCTTAGTCCATATTAACTAATTCAAGAAATGATGCTTTAAGTTATCCTATTCCGGACTGGCCTTCATGTAGTCAAGGTATAAATCCTAAGGAAATTCATATACCATAATGTTATGTCTTGAAGTACGGTCGTGCAACTCTGCGTCGGCCCCTTGGCTTCCTGCTCCGCCCACTATGGTATAGCAAAAGGCACGGTAGCTCTACACAGCCCTTTATGGAGACAAAGGAAAATCATTACAACTGTA